TTCTTTTTTTAATAAAATTTAACAAATACGAATAATTTCCAATTAATATATTTAAAGCGGTACAACTAACGCTTGTATCACTTTTCTAGTAATTCAAAGAAATTGTATAATGTACGAAATATATGTAATTATCTAGGTAAATGTAAGATGGTAGAAGGATATTTATTTCGGTGAACCAATATTACCACTATTATCCCTAAGTAAATGAAGTCTGGTGTGTCAATGTAATTTATTAGCGTGAATAATGGGAGGCATTATCCCCTATACCCAGAGGAATACTGTGTACTCTGGGGCAGTATGAATGCTAAACAAACTACTATATATATAAATGAGTATATTTTTTATTATATTTATCAAATATTTTGTGGTTGTAACAGCAAACCTGTGTTACTTATATACAATTATATATTATATGTATATTGACAAAGTTCTGAGGTAGAGATAGGCTGCCTGTCAATAGAATGGAAACAAGAGATTCGACTCGTTCGTTAATAGATGTTATCAGAAATATAAATCTATAGACATTCAAATATTAAAACCATGAGAATGAATGTAATAAAAAAATGTTCGAACACTTTAGAAGAATATAAACATTGAGAACCACGCGCATTTGTGACGTTAGCTGTTTTGGGGTTTGAATCCCGGCACAGCCTCTAAAATTTTAATCGATATTCATGTGAAAAAATATTATAACATAGTTCTGACCTCTGTCCACTGAACGGGTAATTGGAGGTTAGCCCTCCTGTTTGACAGGAATTACTAAAATGTGAACTTATTGTTAACAAACTAAACTATTTATATACTACTTTTCTAAACAAAATTGTACAAAATTTATTATTTAAAGTATTGGTTGTGATGAAAAAGCGCATGACACTTGCTTTTTCATCTCGACCAAGGCTTTTGATAAAAAGTACAATTAATTTAAATAATTAATACGGTCAATCATACCTAATAATATGTGGATTGAACAAAACTTAAAACTTGTTTAAAGCTGTCAGAAATGTAAGATTCAAATCAATGTAAATAATTTTTATTTGTAATTTTAACCATAATATAAAAATCCTATGGTCCGCAATATCTCGCTGCTTTGCAGTATGCGCTCTTTTTAAAAATGCACAGCCATAAGAAAAAGCCACATTTCTTATTCAACGTCCTGTTTTACGATTTAAACCTTTTATTTTTATTAATATTAAAAAATATGTATTTTTGAAATAAATATTGCAATAAAATACAATTTACGAGTTTATGATTGGCCCGATAAATTTTTGTATTCTATAGAAAGCAATCTTGTAGTGTCAGATCTGGAGATAGAAAGGCTGACCAAAGGGACTTCAAGTTCTAATCTATATTCCAGGATACACGCGATTCAATCGACCTTTCACTATCGCCCGTAATATGGGCTATGGTTCGGCCAGCCATGTAATTGGATATACACGAGCTGATAAACTTACAGAACTCTTTTCAGCATTGGACGGCTGAAAGTTGAGACAGCGTCATTAATTATTTATTATTTTTCCAAAGATATGAAACATTTCTAATAAATAACAAGCTATTATAAAAGTGTTTAAAAAAAAGTATATTTTTTTATATTTTAGCAATTTCATTTACTGACTATATTTATATGTCGCACAGAATCACAGGGTTTTTCTCGGGGTTAGAGAAAACTAGGTTTATCGAAGGGCTTAGGGGCTGTGTTCGTCGGAGCGAAACCGGATTGTCCAAACTGGCGAAAAACCCCGCTAGTGGGAAAAGTACGCGATCTGGAAACTGTCGAGATTTTCCTATTCCATATCTTTTACATGCTTTTTTTAACGTGTCGAAGTAAATATATATATGTAGTGTCGACTTTACAGCGGATCGCGCACCTTCTCCCCAGACAATAAGTGCAAAATTTATCAATATAAACTCTACCATAAATCAGAACACGTCACGTCCAGTAAGTTGCACCGTGAAATACCAAAGTGACTTAATATAATAAATTAACACAATATATATGTAGGGAATTAAAGGTCTCCCACAAATAAAAAGATAAAGATTTAAAGTTTATTGGTAAAGAACACATAAACAAAAGTAAAAGGATAACTAGTTAACATTAAAATACATTAGCGTAAAAAGAAACGTGTTCGTAGGACCGCGTGGTGGTAACAACTAAAACTGTCAGCTGGGGTCCAGNTATTTTGATTAAAGAACATTGCTTTAAAGTAACTAGTTTCTTTTTTTTTGTTTAATACCAAAATCCTGCATTATTTTCCGGACAACCCAATAAATGGGAAGTTTATGGGACGACAAACAGCTGAGGTCATCGCCGGCCCTCTCCGTGTTTTCCATCTTTTTTTTTTCTTTGGCGCATATTTTGTTTTAAACTGCAGCCATTTGAGGTCTCGATCTAGTTACTGACTCTCTGATTGTAGTGTAATAATAATTTGATTACTATTAACTAACTAATAGTAAACTTTAGGACAGCGGAGGCCAAGTGGTTACGCATATTATTACGTTATCCATTCTGGGTTCGAATCCGGCCAAAACTTTGGAATTTTGTTTTGTTTTCTTTGAGATTAATTAGAAAATGGTATTGTAAAACGATAATAATTGCGTTAAGCAACGTGTGGATGCAAGTTAAACCTTACTGTTTATAAATCTGTATAACAAGATTTACAAAAATATAAACTTTTTTAAAAGGTTACAGGTGTATAATATTTATCAAACAAAGACAGCTCGCCGGCATTATCTGCTTTTGTAATTTACAATAAATTACCAGCAGGCCGCGAGAATAATCAACCTCTGGGTTGCAGTCCCGTGTCAGACTGTTGTCATTATCAGTCCTCGGCGTTATGGAGTACTCAATATTCGATCATCGGCCCTATCACACTTCACACTCTCAAACCCAAATAAATTCACTTACACAAAAGGGAATACAAAACATTGACATCTATTAGTACTATATATATACAATAAAACAGCCTTGTTTCCTCTAAGAAGCAGGAGACTCAAATACTCGCTACGTGCTCAAGCAAAATGGTCATAAAGGATGATATTCCTACGCGCTTCCTAAATGGAGCCATGGAATGACAACCTTCAATTAATTGAGACACATCAGAAACTCTAAGTACACGTAGTAGAAGTAAGTGTCCGTGTGTCAACCTGGCATGGCCCATTCTTAATCTGGTAAGGATGATCCTACTTTTACGATTCAGATTCAGATCCTCTGGGTACCACTCGTCGACTGTGCTCATGATACCTACGAACTTCTCTGCCGATCCGACCCACTGTCGCTCCCATTTCATCTTGATACAATTTTTATTGCAATTTTACCGTCAGAAGGGTTTTTAATGAAAATTTTTAATAATTTAAATTGATTAATTGATTAAAATATGAAATAAATAATTAAGTTTTATAAAATAAATAATTAAATGGCCAACTTTGGAAATGCGTATTTTCTCTGGCTTTAACTCACAGACCTGCGCTATGTCTCATCTTTTAGAAAATTTTACGTTGAAGAAGAAAGGGTTTGTAAATGCTTTCCTAGCTTGTCATTCCTCAGTAAAATCAAAAATTTGGGAAACTGTTAATTTTAACTTTATAATATTTAGTGGTCTATTGATCAAATTACTTCTTTCAATTAATTAATCTTTTTATGTAAGGCTTTGGTTGAAATTGCAAAGTTAGTGTCACGAGCGGGATTCGAACCCATGACCTTCGGCTAAGTACGACGCTGCTCTACCACTTGAGCTATCAAGACTTCAATCCACTCGGAAACCAACTCTCCATCTCAACGTACAACCTTTCCAATTTTCCCTCCTTTTTGCCATTTTTCAAATGTCGTGCAATCAGGATTCGATTCTCAGCGACATGTGCAGTTGCCACGGGGAGGTGTAAATGAAGTTATACTTCGTTTTACTTATTAAATTAAATTATGTAAGGTTTTGGTTGAAATGAAAAATGACAAAAAGAAGGGAAAATTCGAAAGGTTGTACGTTGAGATGAGGAGTTGATGTCCGAGTGGGTCGATGTCACGATAGCTCAAGTGGTAAAGCAGCGGCGTATTTAGCCGAAGGTCGTGGGTTCGAATCCCGAGCGTGACAGTAACTTTGTCATTTCAACCAAAACCTTACATAAAAAGATTAGTTAATTTTAACACTTTTTACGAAAATACGTGTGGTGGTAGTTTGGCTTCGAATAACAATATGTTTTGTATGGTAAAATCGGGAGAGAGAGTGATCGGTTGGTGCCATGAGCGTGTAAAAAAACCACGTTCTTGCCCAAAAATCTTGAATAACTAGAAAACGGTTGAGAAATCCGGCAAAGTGGAAGGTGACAAATTGAAAGCTTATTTAAATTTCCTATCGATTGCTATAGAGCGCCTTTCCAAGACAAATTTTTGAATTTACTGATGATTACTGAATAGAGGAAAACATTTACAAAAACCCTCTTGTTCAGGAAAAATTTTCTAATAAATGAGACCTAGCGCAGGTCTGTGACTTAAAGACTCAGAAAATATGCATTTACAAAGTTGGCCATTTTATCGTGCAAAACCAAGGTGGTAGGTTTTTTTTATAATCAGTGTATATAAATATATATTAATATTTAAAAAAATAGACAGTATGTAATTAAAGAGAAAGTGTTCAGGGAGATAAAACATATTCATCGGTAACTTTTTATAGAAGTGTTCATCGACTTTCCGGTCCGCCTATTCTCGCTCTTTGTGTCCAAATCAACTCCTGAAGTTGGCCATATTGCTTAAAACACTCACACAACAGGCGGAAAAGCGAGGAGAACCGATTACAGTTGATAATTTACACAATTTTATTTTCTCTTCGCCGTTTACAAGACGTTCAAAGGTAACATTTCTAATTTCGTTGACATTTGTAAATAGACATCTGACGTATCGAACGTTTACTATTTCGTTTAAACTTAGATTCTAATTATAGACGTACGATTTCGATTCCCTTCCCTAACGTGATCCTTCTTGACAGTTCTTGCCGAACGGTGGTAGCGGCAGGATCAGCATTGGCTCGATCCTAATCTACATGTGCTCAGCAGAATCCGAAATCGGGCGGAAAGAGGGAAATTATTGTAGTACCATTCTCTACCTAACAAGGCCTGAAGGTACGATTACACAAACTCACTTTGTTGCTCCATCGACTTCGCTTAACATTGGACTTCTGTGTGATATGAATATCAATATTTCTGTGTTATTACTCCCTCTTGCTGCTGGTAGCAATAATTTTATTGTCGAAAGTCTCAAATTTTTATAATCTGGATGACTTTGCAACCGTAATTAAGTAAAAAAACACATAGAGAGAACAAGTTTAAAAAAAATATTAATTAAATCTTTTCATTCCCTCCTTCTTCATTTCATTTTTTTATAGTTATATTAATATATTAATTTATAAAGACTTTGGCTTTTAAAAGTTGTACCTTTTTTTAACAATAGTAATTACTATATGTTTACCTCCTAAAAACTTAAGAAATGCATAATCTTGAAAATTATCAAGAGAACTGTAAATTTTTCTAATGCTTTTTAAGTTTTATTTTTATTTTAATAACTTTAGGTAATTTTAAATGCAGCTTTATTAGGGATTGATGAAAATATAAACCAGAACTGTAAGTTGAGAATTTTAAATTTCCCATTCATGCGATAAAATGGTAAGTAAAAATTCACTGTGTTATTATGCCGGGAGTTTTCAAGGGTAGGAAACATAACACAGTTTATTTATTTTTTCAGAAGAGCCACCCTCTTAAGATTATCGTTACGTACATACCACCCGACCCAGCACCTCGCCTGTCCCGCGCTCCAATTTAGTCAATGCGATCTCAGAGATTGCGATCCTCAGAGAAATAAGGGTGATTTTTACCCCCTCGTCGTAATTCCGTCGGGAGACTCGGTTTATTTTCCTTCATTATTTCCAATTTGTACGTCGACGTGTCAATCTAGAAAGGTTTTTCGGGTAAACGGAAATTTATTTGTTTATATTTTTATAAACTTTGATATGTTATTTATTTATCGTTTTTTACATTAGGAATGTATACTTATCATGCCTGATTATTGGTTGTACAAAAATATTTCGGACTTAATGTTATTGTTACACTGAAGTATAAGTTTTTTACTTGGCTGATACATTACCATATAAACGTCAAAACCACACAGAAATAAAAAACAATCAGAAAATTTTGTGCTAGTCTTTTTTTTTGAAAATTTGTCTGCCTGAGAAGAGAGTAAATATGGAAACGTGTGCAGAGCGTGGAACTGAGGGAATCAAGCTCAAGGTGTAGGCTAGGTCCGGGGGGCCATTGGAATGATTTAATGATCTGGAATAATTCCAAAGTACTTAATCAAAAAGTACTTAGGAGTGGTGGTTGTACTTCGAATGTCTCTTAGCTGTTGACATATTTGATGGATATACAGATAGACATTTGGATGGAATTTCCATCACGAACTCTCTATAATGTGACACATGTTATATGTGTGTGAACTAAACTCAGTTAAAAAATTCGTTTTCTCTGTAGATGATATATTAAATTGTATAATATCGACATGTATTAAACGATGCTTAGTGACTTAAGCTTGTACGTTTGATGTGCTATATAAACACAAATTAACAAATATGAAAGTTGATTTTCGAGAAAAAATTATTACATTCAAATAGAATTTAATGTGTAGAGATTAGTGACCGTTAATCGATAGTTATTCAGATATCGTGAGATGCGGTCGGGTGTGATGTAGGTTTCAGAAAAACATTTTCTTTATCGTGTCAACGTTTCGATCTTTTATTGAGATCATCTTCAGGGCCTGGGATTTACAAACAATGTTTACATTTAACAAATACATTTAGGATGTGCAAAAGTGAATTTATACAATGCAAAATATATTCAAACAAAGTATTTCTACTCACTCAAAGTGTTTGACTTCTGTGTAATTGTGCCATTCTTGCGTGTCGTGTTGAGAGTGCCAGTGAGATTTTGCTGTTTTATGTTTATATATATAAGTTATAGTTTATATAACTATAGAATTTAATATTTAAAAAAGAAAAAAACAACAACAATAAATTTCAATGTAATCTCTTTATGAAGTTTTATTTATTATTTATTTATCATATATTATTTATTATACATATTTTTTCTTATCGCGTTGAAAAAACTAACTATGCTGTATGACATATAACTTGTAAGGTAGTAACGTGAAAATATTTTATATAAATGCTTCCCCACTAAAATTTGTAGCATTAGTGGGACATTTTAGGACTCTTTGACATGCCTCTGCCTCTTTGTTTGAGGTGTAATGTTAATTTGAGTTTCAGTTATCGTAAAAAGACACGAACAATATCTCTCTTTCTCCCTCTCCCCCTCTCATTCTCTTTCTTTCTCTCTCTCTCTCTCTCTCTCTCTCTCTCTCTCTTTTGTCTAACACAAGCCGACACACTACAAATTTAAATTCTTTTACAGAGGTTTTTTTAAATCTTAATCTCTTAATCTCTTTCTCTTTCTCTCTCTCTTTTCTCTAACAAAGGCCCACACACCAGACATTTAAATTCTTATACAAAGGGTTTCTTTAATCTTAATTTAATAATCTCTCTCTCTCTCTCTCTCTCTCTCTCTCTCTATCTATCTATCTATCTATCTATCTACCTACCTACCTATCTATCTATATCCATCCATCTATATCCATCCATCTATATCTCTTTATCTATACCTATCTATCTACATCTTTGTACCTATCTGCCTTTCTGTATTTATTAACGAAGTTTTATGTATTATGAATAGTATCAGAGCAAACAAATTCTATATTGTAAATAGAAAACTACTTCTTAGACCAGAGAAGAAAGTTAGAAAGAAAACCCTCATTTTGAATATTTGGTAACTTGGTAAGTATTTGGTAAAGCAAATCCTAGGAAAGAGGCACGAACTTAAAACAAGGTTTTCAAAAATAGTTTTGTTCTAGTCATTAGAGAGTGATTAAAAGTGAAACTTGGAAAGGCATAAATGAATAAATGCCGAAAAATTTGATTCCTGTTTTTTCTTTTACAATATTATAAATGCCAATAATATTCATTGTAATTTAATTTTTCCCTCAATATTTACGATTTACAAAAAAGTAAAATACATTATTTTATTTGGAATTATGGTGTATATTATTTTAGATACTTATTCTCACCCCTAAATTTTGAACTTCTGGGCTGGCCCTTATAAACAAAGGAAGAGTTGGTGTTTAAGAGGTTTTGCACACCAAAAATTTAAAGAGGTTTTTTAAATAGGTTCACAATTTTAAAACTTTTAAAAGCAATAAAGGCGTAGACAAAAATTAATATAAATTTATCAGATTTAATTATCACAATTGCCCGAGTTTTTGGGAGACATTAAAAATAACAATTGCAGGACTGAAAAATTGTTAAATTGGCACTTATCTTTAAGAATTGTCACGATTCAATTATTCCTAAAAAATATAAAGAAAAATAGCACATCAAATTGTGATGTGAACTACAAAAATGCCAAATCAAGCACTTGGAAAAAGAACCCCGGTTATGGATTGTAAAGAAAAAAATAAGTTCATCGAGTGGAGAAGATCGTGAAAAAATGTTTAAATAAATGCAAAAATCCCCAACCACAGCTTTCGACAGTTTATTAAAGCTTTAAGTTCAAACATTCCATAAAAATTAACAACAATTAATTAATTAATGAGATCTCACAATAATTAATTACTTCACATTTTTAAGGATGACATTTTTGTGGAACCGTTTTTATTGATCATATATGATTATTATTTTTTTTCTATGAAGTAATATGCAAATGGAAAACTTAAATTTACTTGGTTAGCATACTGAAAGTATATACCGTACTTCGGATAAAGATATAATCAGGGTATAAATATGGCGAGGAAAGCCGATGAATTTTGAAAAGCAAGACGTCCGTCTTGTTATTATTACCTCTTATTATAGGAATATGGTAAGTTCTGCTTTTTAAGAAGACAGTAGTTGTATGGTTTTGTCAGAAATTAGCATATTTAATTAGGTAATTTCGTATTATTGAAAAAAAAATCGGTATTTATTGGATAATAAAATAGCGAGACGTCTCGATTATAAGCAGGGTAGTCAAGCTGACATTCTAACATTCTATTTTTAAATTTCTGCGACAATATTTTTGATTGGATATGTGACAAATCCTGAGTAATATCTGCAAAAAATTACAAGGTTTGAGGTTTTTTAATTACAAGTACAATTACATTTGAAGTTGAGAGAGCCGAGTCAAAATTTATTTTCAAATTTGACGTTTCCAGTCTAGAAACATTCCAAAACCCGCCATTTTCTCCAAAGATTGATTCTTAAAATTAATCTTATTATTGTAATTATATAGAGCATAGTAAAATGGCCTAAATTGTTTATACAAAACGGACAAGTAATAAATAATCTTTGGTTAGACTTTATTATTTTCATTTACAAATACTTTTACGTTAATTAGTAGCTCAGTAGCTCAACTTTGAATAGTTGATAATGTTGCTCCGCGAGTCGGTGAACGTGATTAAGTTGAAAACCGTCACTGGGTGACTTACAACAAGTTCGGCGTGTTAGATTTTTGTAAATACCTTTTAACACGGAGTAACATGAAACTTGCGGGTCTAGGCTGACACAGGGACAATTCAACCTTAGCTAAAATAGCATTATTATAAAAATGCAAGTATTATCAGATTAATTAAGGTTTTTAGTTGAGATAAAAAGGTCGTTGTCACGAGCGGGATTCGAACCCACGATCTTCGGCTAGATACCCCGCTACTCTACCACTTGAGCTATTGCGACCTCGATCCACTGGGAAACCAACTTCCCATCTCAACCCCACCTTTTGAATTTTTCCTCCTTTTGCCATTTTTCAAATGTCGTGTAATCTATTTGATTCTCGGCGACAAATGAAATGGCCACGGAGAGCTTTAGTGAAGGTATACTTCATTTTCACTCATTAAATTCACTAGTTTTTTTGGTCCGATTAACCAATTAATATCTTTCAATTAATTGAGATTTTTAGTTGAGATAAAAAATTCAGTTTTACGAGCTGGATTCGAACCCACTATCTTCGGCTAGATACGTCCGAGAGGATCGCCGAGAATCAAATAAATTACA